TCTCTCCTCCTCCTCCCCTCCTTCCTCCTCCTCCTCCTCCTCCCCTCCTCCTCCTCCTCCTCCTCCTCCTCCTCCCTCCCCCATCCCCCATCCCCCATCCCCCATCCCCCCCCTTCTTTGGAGGTAGAGCACTGGGCTCTTGGGTTCAGTCGGGCATGGTCCTCTACAGGAGGAATCTTCAAACATTCGTTAAACCAACACATGGCGCTGTGTTTTGTCGATTCTGTGCCACCTTTTTTGCTTATTTCAGACTGTTCTTCATTTGTCGTGGAAAATCCGCATGTAGGGGGACATGCCCGACCTAACTCTTGGGGCGCTCTTGGGGCGCTCTTGTGGCAATCTTGAGGCTTATTGCGCCCCTCTCGGCGGGCTCTCTTGAGCCATCCTGGGGAAATCTTGAGGCCTGAGAGGCCCGTCGGAGGCGAACACGTGAGAACACACACAACAAGGTTTGCTATTGTAGCACATCATGGGACCCTTGCGCACCCTCGTAATTCTGTCTTTAGCGTCGACCAGCGTCGATTAGCGTCCGGGAGTCGATGAGACAGCGCCGATGTAGCGTCGGTTGGCGTCGATTGTGTCGATTTAGCGTCGACTAGCGTCGATTCGCAAGAGCCGACAAGATGGTATGGGAGACTCCCATGAGTTGCCACCGACATTTCTTCTATAGGTTTGGAACTGAGTTTAGCCTGTTGGGAGGGTGCCTTGGAAGTCTCGGAGGGCACTTGGAACCGTCTTCAGGGCTGTCTTGCAGTATCGAGGAGGTGTGTCGGAAGCTTCTCTCGAGCCATTCTGCAGTCTCATGGGCCATCTTTGTAGGTCCTTCGCTTCGAGGCTATCTGGGGCCCTCATGGGGCCGTTTGGGCAACCCTGATGCTCCTCGATGGTCCTCGCCGAGACGGAGGAGGAGGAGGAGGAGGAGGAGGAGGAGGAGGGAGGAGGAGGAGGCAGGAGGAGAGGAGGAGGGGGGAGGAGGCAGGAGGAGGAGGAGGAGGAGGAGGAGGAGGAGGAGGAGGAGGAGGAGGAGGAGAGAGGAGGAGGAGGAGGAGGAGGAGGAGGTGAGAAGGAGGAGGAGGGGAGGAGAGGAGGAGGAGGAGGAGGAGGAGGAGGAGGAGGCGGAGGCGGAGGGGAGGAGGAGGAGGAGGAGGAGGACGGGGAGGAGGAGGAGGAGGAGAAGGAGAAGGAGGAGGCGGAGGAGGCGGAGGAGGTCAAGGAGGAGGCGGGGGACGCTCTACTGGCCCCGCCCCGTCCAGACTTGGGGGGGAAGGGTTGCGGGGAGGGGTGGCCCCCTCCCCGAGCAGCCCTGGGAGGCCTCTGGGATCCCCCCTGGGGAGGCGGGCAGGTCATCCCCAGGGGCCGCGGAGGTGCGGGAGGCGTCCGCTCGCGTCTCCCCCGGGTCGTCGTGTTCTCGGAGTGCAGAGGCACGAGGGGGGAGGGAGGAGAGGGACGGTGAGTGGGATGGGGAGGAGGAGAAGGGAGGATGAGGGGGAGGGAAGGGAGGGGGCAGGGAGGGATAGGAGGAGGGAGGGAGGGAGGAGAAGGAGAGGGAGTGTGAGAGGAAAGGGAGGGTGTGGGGAGAGGGAGAGGGGGAGGACGGAGGGGAGGGGTAGCCTCCTCCCCGAATACGGTCAGGGGGTTTCGTTTAGCGTGTGTGGTCGTCCCGCCGGGCCCAGGGGAGGAGGTACACGTTAAACGAACCATCGAGTCGAGGGCAGGGTGCTACGTACACGCTAAACGCTCTACTACCGAGATCTCGCCAGCGGGGCGTGCTCTTACCTTTACCCGCCTCTCCACTCCTCCAATAAGAGGCAGGAGGAAGCAGGAGGAACGGAGGAGGGGGAGGAGGAGGAACATGAGGAGGAGGAGGAACATGATGACGATGATGATGATGATGATGATGATGATGATGATGATGATGATGATGATGATGTTGATGATGATGCTGATGATGATGATGATGCTGATGCTGATGCTGATGCTGATGCTGATGCTGATGCTGATGATGATGATGATGCTGATGCTGATGATGCTGATGATGTTGTTGATGATGATGATTATGATGACGATGATGATGATGATGCTGATGATGTTGATGATGATGCTGATGATGATGATGATGATGATGATGATGATGATGATGATGATGATGATGATGATGATGATGATGATGATGATGATGATGATGAGGATGAGGAGGAGGAGGAGGAGGAGGAGGAGGAGGAGGAGGAGGAGGAGGAGGAGGCGGAAGATGATCTGTCGACACTATGCTCCCGTACGCCTTGAGAAATGCATTTACCTAGGTGCAACTCCTTTCGGATTTGCAGGATCGGCTTCCTCTCCTCCCATATCCTCCCTCTCTCCGGCCTCTGCCCGTTGTCCCCCATCCCAGCCGTTCTCCCTCCCTCCACCCTTTCTCCTTCCTTCTCTCCACCCTCCACCCTCCACCCCTCCCACCCTCAACCCTTTCTCCCTTTCCCTCCTCGCATGCTTTCCCCCCCTCTGCGTACCTTGAGGGTGTCCCATGGGCCGCCCTGGGCCTCCCTAAAAGCTTTCTTTAGTAATTTCGAGCGCTCCTGGTGCTCTTTCGGGCTGGCCTCCCTGAAGGCCCTCTTGGGCAATCTTGGGCGCTTTGGGGACCATTGCGGTCCGTTTGGGGCAGCAACCGGTGCCATCCTGGGCTGTGTTGGCGGCCTCTTGGGTTTTTCTTGGAGCTCCCATGGGCCGTCCTGGGCCTCTCTGGAAGCCCTGCTGGGCCTTGTTTGGGGTGTTCGGGGCCCTCCTGGGCCTTTCTGGGCTGCTCCTGGACCCACCCTGGGCTGTCTTACGTGCAACTCTTTTGAGGCCCTCTTGACGCCACTTCCTGGAGCCCTGAGCCGCCCTGGCCCCCGCCCCCTGCTGGAGCCGGGGCCCGTATAGCGTGTACGTACTGGCCCCCCCTGCCCTCCCCGCCCCCCCTGGGATCGCGCTGGGCCCCCCTGAAAGCCCTCTCGGGCAATCTTGGATGCTTTGGTGGCCAGCTTACGCATAATGACTCATATCTGGCTGTGCTACCGGGCTGAACCTATCATAGGTCATAGCTGGCCGTGGTATCGTGCGGAACCTACAGTTGGTCCTACCTAGCGGTGCTTGTTGCTATGAGGCTGAACCTTCCTGGCTGCTTTATCGGGCTTAAGCTACGTCGAATAGGTCCGACCTGGCCGTGCGACCGGGCTGAGCCTACGTATGATAAGACACACCTGGCAGCGCTATCGAGCTGAACCCTCAATATGTGAGCACTTCCTGGCGGCGCCATCGGGCTGAAACTACAACAGGTCCTATCTGGCTGTGCTATCGGGCTGAATTTATATAGGATGGAGGTCCTGAGGGGTCTCGGAGAGCACTTGGAACCGTCTTGTGGCCATCTTGGAGCCTCTTGGAGGCATGATGGATGTCGTCTTGAGCGATCTTGCGCTATCAAGAGCCATCTTGGAGGACATCTTGCAGGATCGGAGGCCGTTTTAGAGCCATCTTGGGCCGTCTTGGACGCTCTAACCCCTCGCGGACTTCCCCCAACAAGGGCTGGTCGGACTTTATGTGGCCCTTCTGACGTCACCTCCTGGAGCCTGAGCCGTCCTGCTCCCCTGCTGGAGCCGGGGCCCGTATAGCGTGTACCTGCCCCCCGCCCTTCCCGCCCCCCCCTGGAGACGCGCTGGGCCTTCCTGGAGGCCCTCTTGGGCAATCTTGGACGCTTTAGGGGGCCATTTTGGCAGTTTTGGGCAGCAATCGGAGCCATCCTGGATTGTCTGGGCGGCTTTTTGGGCCCCCTTGGGCCGTCCTGGGCCTCTCTGGAAGCCCTGTTGGGTTTTTTTTGGGTGCTCGAGGCCCTCCTGGGCCGTTCTGGGCTGCTCCTGGACCCACCCTGGGCTGTCTGACAAATCTATGGTGCCCTCTTGACGCCACCTCTTGGAGCCCTCAGCCGTCCTCCCTCCCTGCTGGAGTCGGCCCTCGTGGGCAATCTTCGGCGCTTTGGGGGCCACTGCGGCCCGTTTTGGGCAGCAATGCTGTCTGGGCAGCCTTCTGGGCCTTCTTGGAGCTCCCCGGGGCCGTCCTGGGCGGGAGCCGGGGCCCGTATAGCGTGTACCTGCCCCCCGCCCTCCCCGCCCCCCCTGGAGTCGCGCTGGGTGTCCTGACGACCCTCTTGGGCAATCTTGGACGCTTTAGGGAGCCATTTTGGCAGTTTTGGGCAGCAATCGGGGCCATCCTGGATTGTCTGGGCGGCTTTGGGGGCCCTCTTGGAGTCCTGGGCCTCTCTGGAAGTTGGGCCTTTTTTTGAGGTGCTCGAGGCCCTCCTGGGCCGTCCTGGGCTGCTCGTGGACCCACCCTGGGCTGTCTTGCACATCTACGGGGCCCTCTTGACGGCCCAGAACGGCCCAGGAGGGCCTCGAGCACCCAAAGAAGGCCCAACACGGCTTCAGAGAGGCCCAGGACGGCCCAAGGGAGCTCCAAGAGGGCCCAAAAAGCCGCCCAGATAAACCAGGATGATGCTACCCAAAACTGCCAAAATAGCTCCCAAAGCGTCCAAGATTGCCCAAGAGGGCCGTCGGGAAGGCCCAGCGCGACTCCAGGGGGGGGGAAGGGCGGGGGGCAGGTACACGCTATACGGGCCCCGGCTCCCGCCCAGGACGGCCCAGGGGAGCGTTTTGGGCAGCAATCGGGGCCATCCTGGATTGTCTGGGCGGCTTTGGGGGCCCTCTTGGAGCTCCCTTGGGCCGTCCTTGGCCTCTCTGGAAGCCCTGTTGGGCCTTTTTTGGGGTGCTCGAGGCCCTCCTGGGTCCTGGGCTGCTCCTGGACCCACCCTGGGCTGTCTTACAAATCTACGGGGCCCTCTTGACGTCACCTCTTGGAGCCCTCAGCCGTCCTCCCCCCCTGCTGGGGCATTTCGGCTCGTTTTGTGCAGTAATCGGGGCCATCCAGGGCTCTCTTTGCAGCCTTCTGGGCCTTCTTGAAGCTCCCCTGGGCCGTGGGCGGGAGCCGGGGCCCGTATAGCGTGTAATTACCTACCAGGCGAATTTCAGATCACGATTCACGAAAAAACACCAAAAGGGATCACGCTAAACGAAACGGATATTGGATCACGCTTTCGAGAATTTGGCTTAGCGTGTACTCCCATTCCTTGACCATACACGCTAAACAAAAGCCCCTGACCGTAGGGGGAGGGAGGTTTCTGTCGGACGAGGAAGGACAGCACCTCATTATACCACCTCCGCCCAGAGGGCTGGTGGGATTCGAGCTCCAGATCGCTTCGTATCGCCGCGCCTTCCCTCGCCTCCTTCTCCCTTCTCCCTCCTCCTCCTCCTCCTCATATTCTTCCCTCCTCCTTTCTCTCGCCTCTTCCCCCCTCTCCTCCCTCCTCCCCCCCCTGGGGAAGGAGACTGAGGGGGGGGAGGAGGGGGGGTGAGCAACGTCCCAGGATGATGATGGGAGACGGAGGGAGGATCAGGAGAAAGGGAGGAGGTGAGTCATCAACGATGTTGGCATAAAGCCTCCCTCCAAGCTCCCTCGTCACAGGCCTCTACAACTGTTAATTTCCATTGAGGGAACTGCCTCGTTGGAGGACAACCGTTTGAAGACCTTGAAGCATACATTGTTCTCGGGATTCCAACGCCACGGATCAATCTGACTGTTTCGTCTTGAGGATCCTGAGTCGTGCCAGAGCGCCATTCTTGGGACTTCAACACCGCGAAGTAACGTAGCTGTTGCATCCTCATAATCTGGAATCCTTCCACAATACCATTTCTGGTACGTTGACCATGGGAGTCCGTGAAATTCTTGAGAATTTTAAAGACGAATGTGCGCGGCGCTACGGCGAGAACCACATTTTGGAAACCGCCCGCCGTCAATCCGTGAAGCTCTTGCAAGTTTCCAATGTTTAAGGTTCAGGGTCATAAATGCTGAGGGCGTCTCCGGCGAAACGCCCGGCTGGCCCTTCAAACTGGGCTCGGGGTGCGACCGGGTGGAGTTATTTCGAAGGGAGATGAATGGAGGAGGAGGGATGAGGAGGGAGGATTAGGAGAAGGAAGAGAAGATAAGGATACGGATAAGCATACGGATAAGGAGAAGGAGAAGGAGAAGGAGGGAGGAGTAGGAGGGAGGAGTAGGAGGAGGAGGAGGAGGAGGGAGGAGGAGGAGGAGGAGGAGGACGATGAGGAGGAGGAGGAGGAGGAGGAGGAGGAGGATTGAAGGGGATACATGAGAAGGTACGGGGGGGCCCCTGCTCCTGCCCAGCTCTGTGCCTGCCCCTGCCGAAGAGGTGACGGAGATCCGCCTGGGGCAGACCACGAAGGTGTTCTCGCACTACCGCCTGCCCATGCTGGAGCACCTCTCCTTCTCGCTGGCCCTTCGGGGCGGGAGCACGGCGGCTTGAGGAGGAAACATCAGGCTTCGGACGCTGTCGAAGGTCGTCGGCACCTCTCGTCGGCTCCTGGAGGTCTCCTAGCCTCGGGATGCGTTCCAGCAGCTGCGCCTCGTCGAGAGCGCTCCAGGGCTGCCCGGAGTGTCCCGGGCGGCTGCCCGAGGCTTGAGTCATGGCCCGCGTACGTCCTGGATCTCGGAAGGGTGCCCGCCGAGACAATGGCGGCCCTCCCTGGCGCTTTCGGTACTCTCTGGGCCTCCTGGAGGCTCCTGGCCGCCACTGGATCAGCTGTCTCGACACAACGGGTCGTGATAGGACCCGTGGAGCGGGCTTGGGGGACCGCCGCCGCTGCCTCAATTGGCCTTCTGCCGAGACGAGGGATGAGGAAGGCCTCCTCCGCCTCGCTCGAGGCAAGTGTAGCCCGTTTCAGAGAGCAAAGCAGCGAACCCGGTGCACAAGGAGGAAGCTAGTAGAGGAGGGGCAGCCCGACGCACGGGGAAGCCCGAACTGGGTGCAGGAGTCAAAGGGTCTCCATCCTCCTCCTCCTCCTCCTCCTCCTCCTCCTCCTCCTCCTCCTCCTCCTCCTACTCCTACTCCTACTCCTACTCCCTACTCCTACTCCTCCTCTTACTCCTCCTCCCCTCCTCCTCCCCCTCCTCCTCCATCCATCCTTCCTCCTTCCTCCTCCTCCTCCTCCTCCTCCTCCTCCCCTCCTCCTCCTCCTCCTCCTCCTCCTCCTCTCCTCCCTCCTCCTCTCCTCCCTCCTCCTCCTCCCTCCTCCCTCCTCCCTCCTCCCTCCTCCCTCCTCCCTCCTCCCTCCTCCTCCTCCTCCCCTCCTCCTCCTCCTCCTCCCTCCTCCCTCCTCCACCTCCTCCTCCCGCCCCCTCCTCCTCCTCCCTCCTCCCTCCTCCTCCTCCTCCTCCCTCCTCCTCCTCCCTCCTCCCTTCCTCCCTCCTCCCTCCTCCCTCTCCCTCCTCTCCCCCTCTTCCCCTCTCCTCCTCCTCTTTTTCCTCCCTCCTCCTCCTTCTCCTCCTCCTCCTCCTCCTCCTCCTCCTCCTCCTCCTCCTCCTCCTCTCCTCCCTTCTCCTCCTCCTCCTCCTCCTTCTCTCTCCTCCTCCTCCTCCTCCTCCTCCTCCCCCTCTTCCTCCTTCTCCTCTTCTCCTCCTCCTCCTCCTCCTTCTTCTTCTTCCTCCTCCTCCTTTCCCTCCTGCTCCTTCCTTCTCCCCCTTCTCCTCCGCCTCCTCCCTTCTCCCTCTCCTCCTCCTTCTTCTTTGACGTTGCTCGGATTTAGTGTGCTAGCACGCAGCGTTCAGGTATGACAGGTAATGACCGACTTAGCAATGCGATGACCAAACACTTATACTGGCGGTCGCAGCGGAGAATGTCATTTAGAGTGAAAGGCGAAAAAGGGCAGAAAAGTGTATGCGCCCTCCTCCTCCTCCTCCTCCTCCTCCTCCTCCTCCTCCACGCATCGCGCGACTCTCAGGGGGAGCCGCACGGACGTGGCACGCCGCGGGACATCCGGTTCCAGGGCGCTCGTTTCGAGCTGTCCGCCAGGGGCCGACGGTGCGCGTCTTGAGACTTGTTTTACGTCGGGCCTGCCCCTCTGCAGGAGGAATCTCAAAAAATAGTCAAAAAATAGTCTTGGGACGATGTTATGAGTATTTTTTTGATTCTTAGGGTATTGTCAAATTTTTCGTTTAAAATCCGCCTGTAGGAGGACATGCCCGACCTACGACTTGTTCTGGTGCCCCCCAGCGCCGAGTCCAGAGTCCAGTGTCTGCCTCCTCTCCCCTCCCCCCCTCTCTACAATTTGGACCCACGTCGTCACGGCAGCCACCTGCCGTGCTTGCACAGCAGGGGTACGCGGGCAGGTGATCGGACCGAAGGAGTCGAAGACCCTGGACCTGACCTGCAAGGACGAGTTCGAGTTCGACCACTGGGTGACCGGCCTCAAGGCGCGGCCTGTTTGGTCTTCCCCCTGCTATTGCGAAGGCCTGGCGGCCAGTGCCGCCGACCCTGAATGGGGACGACGACGACGACGACGACGACGACGACGACGACGACGACGACGACGACGACGACGACGACGACGACGACGACGACGACGACGACGACGACGACGACGACGACGACGACGACGACGTCGCGTTCGACCGCTGGGTGACCAACCTCAAGGCGCGGCCCATGGGGTGCGCCCCAGTTGCAGCGAAACAGGGCCTCGCAAAGGCTAGCTGTGGTTCTTAGGGGCGTTCGCGGTTCGGTCGGGTCGGCTGCGTCATAGTCGGTTGCGTTCGGTCGGTTCGGTTCGGTCGGTTCTTCTTTCGTTGCCGCGTCGCCGCGTCCTTCTGGGATGCTTGCGGTCTGCTGATCTTCGTCGGTTTCGTTTCCGCTGTCGGTTCTGTCGTTTTTTCGGTTTTGCTGTCGCCGTTTTCGGCCTTGGGTTCTTGGTGGCTGTCGCGGGTTTATCATAGGCCCTTATACATCTGTGGTCGACAACAAACCTAATCCGGCACAGCCCCGCCCAATTCAGCACAATCCCGCTCAATCCGGATCGACCTGGGACTCAATCGTGGGACTGATTTGGGCTGGGCCGGCTTAACAGCCCCGTAGTGGGTCTTAATAGCCCTCAATCGTTCCTGCGAAAGCCTCCCAGGAGTTACAGTGGAGGCCCGTGCCAAGAAACACCCTGCTTGCCTCCAGGGTGCCTTGGGTTTCTTGGGTTTCGATGGTTTTTCGATGGAGAGCGTGGCGTTCCCACACCAAGAATCTACGGACGTCCTTGGGTCTCAGGGTTGGGTTTCTTGTGGAAGGCTTCTTGTGGACTGGCCTCCACTGCAATGGTTCTCCAGAGCCCTCAATCCTTCTACGAAGGCCTCCCAGGGAGCTAGCTTCTGACCGCTGGACGGCGAGTCGTTGACGCCCGACGGCGTGGCGCGTGCACGAAGTGCCGAGGCGGCGGCCGTCGGGGCACAGTGTCGGGGGGGATCGGCTCGGGGGCAGCGTTTGGTGGGGACGGGCTCCGGGGTGGAATGACGGGCTCGAGGCTCGAGGCTCGAGGCTGGAGAGGTGCTCGCGCTCGTCTCGTCAGCTCTCGGCGGTCTTCCGCCCTCGGAGGGCCCCTTCGGCGGCCGCGCCATTTGCCGAGGGCGCTGCGAGAGGGGGGGGCCCGGAGGTCGTCCCGAGCGGCCGCCGGAGGGCCCCCGACCCCTGCTTCGGGGGTGGACAGAACCCCCAACAGTGACACGTCGATTAAGGAATTGGCCGTTTTCGGTTCGCGAGATGGGCGCCGCGGCCGTCATTTTTGCGGGTCCAGGTCCGTCGGTTTCGGTCCCAGACCGTCGAGTCGGTCCCAGGCCCCGACCCCTGCTCGCCCATTCTAGGGGAACAAAAAGTGGAGGTCCCAGACCGTCGAGTCGGTGCCAGGCCCCAACCCCTGCTCGCCCATTCGCACATAAACATATTTCCGTGCGGATTTTTCGGATCGGCGGATTTTTCGGATCGGTGCTGATTTTTCGGATCGGCGGATTATTCGCCGTCGAGTCGAAGGTCCGCGCGGATTTTTCGGATCGGCGCTGGGGCCCCCCAGCGGCGCCTCCGGCGCCGCCCCTGGCGCGCTCCGCGCGCCAGGGAGGGGTGTCCAGCGCCGATCCGAGAAATCCGCGCGGACCTCCGAGTTTTTATGTTCATGTCACTTTTTTTCCCCCCAGATAGGGGCCCGATAGCCCCGCCCAGGGCCTGTTGCGGTTCTGCCAGCCATGCATCGCCGATTCCAGGCCGATGCTTTCCATCCCCGCGCCCTGAGCCGTTGCTCCTCCCACTGCTCCCGCCGAGGGGGTCCTGCCTCTCATGAAGCTCGCATGGAGTAGCGGCCCTGCCAGCAATGCGTACAACAAGCTTCGCGGTGCCTGCTGCTGTTCCCGCGCGTGCCTGCACGAAGTCTCGTAGAAGCTGGTCGTGGGCCGTGGGCGAAAGACACGTCCGTGTCCGCGGCCTCGTGGGCCGAGAGCCTGGGGCCACGAACCCGCGGGTGCGGGGCGCTTTTGCTCGCGGACGCTCCGCGCGGAGCGTGCCCGTGCGACCGCGTCTCCGCGGGATCGAGCCCCGGGATCCAGACCGCGAGGGCGCGCCTTCGGATACGTTCGCCGCCCGTGAATCGGTGCCCGTTCAGCCCTCTGCGCCAGCACCCTGTCGCGGCAGCCCGGTCAGCGGCGCGTCTTTGCGCAGCCTGTTTTGGCTCGAGGCTTTCGCCTCAGGGGCCCCCTCCGGCACCGCACCGGCCAGCAGCTCCTCGGGTCGAGGAAGAGAACACGGCACGAGCGCAAACATGCAGAGGTTCTTGTGGATTTCTTGCGTCGGCGTTGGATTATGTGAGGAGAAGGTGCACTTACCACTACCCTGGCTTCGTTCTCACCCTGTCGGGCTTCCTGAGCGGCCCTCGTCGCCACGGCTGGATTCGCCTCGAAGTCCGGGTCAGAGCGCACCCCGGGGAGCGGTCCGGGGAGTAGCGGTGTTGGTATTTTTTTAGCCCCCCCGCTAGCGCCTCCTTTCCTGGCGCGCGGAGAGCGGCAAGGGCGGCGCCAGGTGCGCCGCCAGGTGCGCCGCCAGGGGGGCCCAGCGCCGATCCGAGGAATCCGCGCAGAACCGAGAAGGTTTGTGCTACGGTCGAGATCCACAGTAGTCAGGATGCTCTGCCTCATCCAGACCACGTACCCCTGCATCCCTGCTTCCTCGGCCCGTCCTGAGCCAATGTTGACGTTCAGGGAGCTCTGAAGTGGTAAATTGGGCTCCAGGGGTCTTGCATCCTCACCTTGCATCCTGGCTGTGGATCGATTTGGGCTAGCTGTTCCCAAGGCCCAACCACAACGCGGTTCAGTTTGGCGTGGGCCTTTGTTGTTGTTGTTGATTCGTTTCGTTGTTCGTTGCTCGTGCTCGCTTAGCTTTCCGTGGTTGCTTCCAACGCCTCGTTTCGTGCTTCCTTCCGCTTGGCGCCGGTCTCGCTGTCAACGCCCGTTTCGAAACGTGGGGCCTCGTTTCGTTTTGGGGTCGTACGCGCCACCTCGTTCTAAGCATCGTCGTGGTCGCTCCCTGTGGATCTGGACTGGCTGTCCTGCTCCTCCCGGCCACCACCCGCAGCTCCGCGGCGCCCGCGGCGCCATGTCCTTCCGCTACGGGGGGGGGTACGGCGAAGGCCTCGGGTACGGCGCGGGCGGCCTCGGCGGCGCGTACGGCGCGGGCTCCGCGTACGGCGCCAGCGGCCTCTACGGCGCGCACGGCGCGCGCGGCGCGGGGGGCGCGGACCTCCGGGGGCGCCGCGGCTTCCGACCCTTCCCGTGGGCCCCCGCAGGCTTCCCAGCCCCAGAGGGTGCTCTCCAGCACCCGCGCCTCGCCGCGCCAGCCTCCGAGAGGCGCCGAAGGTCGCCCCGAGCGGCCGCGGGAGTGCCGAAGTGTGGCCCGAAAGCCGGGCGAATCTCTGGGAGCGGGGGCTGGCCAGGGGTGGGGGAGCCTCGACCCCCTCTTGTCGCCCGTCCCTCGCCCCGCGGGGGTGCCCAGGAGCGTGGGCCCGTCGCCGATCCAGCGGCGATGCCTCGTCGGTTCCCTGAAATGTTGTCCCTCCCCCTGAGCCAGTCCCCCCCCTCCTCCCGGCTCCCCTCAGGACTGCGGCACGGCGTGCTGCGCGAGCACCACCGCCTGCATGGGCTGCGGCCCCGGCTGCGGCGTGGCCTGTGCCGAGGGCTCGGGCTGCGGCGGCGGCGGCGGCACGATCCTGAGCTACGTGGGCCCCGGTGGTGACTACGTCCAGGAGACCACCTACAGGTACGTGGGCATGGGCGCGGGCGAGTTCGGGGCGGTCCGCATCCCCGGGCGCGGCCCGAACTGCTGCCTGATCTGCCTCGTGCCCCTGGGCCTGTCGCTCCTCCTGCTGCCCCTCCTGCTCTTCGCGATGGCGCCGGGCTCGACGACGACCACGACGACCACCACCACCACCCCGTTGATCATCACGACCACCCCGCCGCCTGAGACCACCAAGGCCACCACCACCGAGAAGACCACGGCGGCTCCCCCCCCGCCCCCGCCGCCCCCGCCGCCCCCGCCTCCCCCGCCTCCCCCGCCGCCCCCGCCGCCCCCGCCGCCCACGACCACGGAAAAGAAGATTAACTGCGGGGAGGGCGACGTCGTGTCCTGGGACGTGCCCAAGAAGGTGTACTGCTGCCTGCACGAGGGCAAGGGTTGCCCGACGACCCCTGCCGCTCCCAGCACCATGCCGGCGCCAGTATACGTGCCAGTGGTAACGACGGCGAGGAGCACCACCTCCCCGTGCCCGATCGATTGCAACGCTGGCTATAACGACCTCGACCCGCTGCAGTGGGTCCGCGGCTGGTCTGGCGAGAAGAAGCTGTATTGCTGCAAGACCGCGAACAAGGGCTGCCCGTCGGAGCTGCCCCCGCCCTCTGGCGCGCCCCCTTCCAACGCACCCCCGGAGCCGGACAACAGCGTGTACGACTGCAACGCGGGCTATCTCAGGGCCCCCCAGACCGGGGACACTTTGATTAGCCAGGAGAGTTGCGCGCCCGGGAAGACTGCAGCTGTGGGTCCAAGCGTTCTCCGTGTTTCCTTGTCCCCAGGTGGAGTTCTCAAGGTCCTGGTTAGAACTGTCCTGGCGTGGGGGGCCCTGGCTCTCACCACTGCATGCACTGCCTGGAGCTGTCGTGGTCCCCGAAGAAGATCGAGTACTGCTGCAGCAAGGAGCACAAGGGCTGCAAGGGCGAGGAGCCGGAGTGAGCAGCCTCCGAGGCGGGGGCTCGGCTGCCGCCCGCCTCTCGATCTTCGGTCCTCGGTCCTCGATCCTCGAGGGAGGTCCGACCCTGATCGCCGATCGGAGCCCGCTGGGCGGGAGGCAAAGCCACACCCGCCCGCGAGCGACTGCGTTTTTTTCTTCCGTGCTCCCAGGGGCCTTCTCGAGGGTGGCGGCCCTCTGAGAGGGCGGGGGCCTTTTTGGCAGGGCCCTCGGGGCTTCCACGATGCCATAGGAGGTCTTCTGCAAGAAGCCCCCCTGCCTGTTGAGAGGGCCGCCCCCCTCGCGCTGCTCCACCTCAACTTCCTCCTCCTCCTCCTCCTCGTCCTCCTCCTCGTCCTCGTCCTCCTCCCGCTCCTCCTCCTCCTCCTCCTTCTCGCTCCTCGCTCCCTGCTCCTCGCTCCTCCCTGCTCCTCCTCCTTCTCCTCCTTGACCTTTTCGCTCCTCCTCCTTGCTCGTGGCTCCAGAATGGGCACTCTCTCGAGCAGGGAGATGTTTATGAGTCGGACCGCTCCACATTTCACGACACTATGTAACGTTGCACGGCTTGTGGGGCCATGGCCCACACCAGCACGAAACGGGGGAACCTGAGGGGGCCGTGTCGTCCGTCGTCGTCGTAACCGTCGTCGTCGTCGTCGTCGTCGAGCGGGCGGGCTTTTTACTTTTCTAAGTGTCGTGCTGGTCTGTATCCTGCCCATCGGAACCCCAAGTGGCTCACGATGGCCCATCTGGGCCCCCCCCCCTTGGAGACGAGGGGAGAGTGGGCCCCTTTTTTCTCGACCTGGGCCCAGGGCCTCCAGGGGCCCCCGAAACAGGTTCGGGAGGCCAGGGCGGTCGCCCGCGAGGGCCCTGCGGCCGACCTTGTGCGAGGTCTCGCGCTGATGGGCCTAGTGAGGGACGAGGTCGAGGCCCTCGGCGCGCAGGTCGAGGACAGCGCCAAGAAGCCGAGGAGGATGAGGACCTCCTCTTCGGTTCCTAGCGCGTCTGGTAACTCGTTTGTCGTTGTTGTTTTCCGCCCGAATTCGGTCGTGCCGTGCACGGTCGTGCGCGTCCTCCCCCTCGCTCCTTGCTCTTTGCTCCTCTTCGTTCTTCCTCCCTACTCCTCCCTACTCCTCCTCCTCCTCCTCCTCCTCCTCCTCGTCCTCGTCCTCGTGTTCCTCCTCCTCCTCCTCCTCCTCGTCTTCCTCCTCCTCCTCCTCCTCGTCCTCCTCCTCCCCCTTCTCGCTCCTCCTCCTCCTCCTCGCTCTTCTCCACCTCCTCCTGTTTTGCTCCTCCTCCTCGCTCTCCTTCCCCTCCTCCTCCTCCCCCTCCTCCTCGCTCCTCCTTCTCCTCCTCCTCCTCCTTCTCTCCTCCTCCTCCTCCTCCTCCTCTCCTCCTCCTCCTCCTCTCCTCCTCCTCCTCCTCCTCCTCCTCCTCCTCCTCCTCCTCCTCTCCCCCCTCGTCCCCCTCGCTCCTTTTGTCCAGTTTCAGGAATTCGAGGCCTTGTTTTTCACACTTCGGGGTTCCTGGAAGCCCTGACCCTTTCCCTGGGGCGGGCTGTTCATCCCGAGCCGCTTGTTGACGGCCCGGTTCCTGGGCCCCCGTAGTGGTCCTCTAGGGCGGTATAAGACCTTGGCGTTGCAATTTTTACACACCTGGCTTTTTCGCCCAGTTTCGGGCCCCGGGACCCTCGCATACCGATCGGGCTGGAAAATTGCGCAGAATGTTCGGGGTTCCGGTTGTGATTTGTTGCCATGCTGCAGCCTCTTTTGCAACGTCAGATCTCACGGTGCTCTGCCTTCCCTCGGCCCCCTCCCGGCCTGCTGGGCCTCTCGTCGCGTGCTCTGGCCCACCCGGCCCTGCGCGCATGGATCCGCGACCCTTCGCCGCGCGCGCGGGTCGAATTACCTGGCGCACGGCGAAGCGGGTGGGGCGCCGGGCGGGGGGCAAAGTTACGCCCGCCCGCGGCCCTGCAGCCCAACTTGTCTGCCGCGCGCCCGCTGTCCTCAGACTGGGGCGCCTGCCTCCTCCGGCCGCCCGCGCGGCCTGCGGGAGCCTCGCCCCCCACCCCCCCGACAGAAAAAGGCCCCTGGGGCCCCGGGGAGAACGTGACGCCGCAGAAACCCCGCGAGCACGCGGGAGCGCCCAGCAGACGGCCGACATGCACGCAACACCCACCAAATCACCCCAACCCCGCCCGAAGGCCCCAGTGTGCCTTCCTCTCCCAGTGGGGAGTGGGGGTGGCGCCGGGGGACATGGAACAGGTGCAGACGGAGCCCGCACCGCCCCCCCCACCTGGAATGCGGGCCTTCGGGTTGGGTTGGGGTGGTCTGGAAGGCCTCCGTGAACATCAACGCTCGGACGTCCACGCGGATCTCTTGGATCGGCGCGGGGCCCCCCTGGCGGCGCCTGTGGCGTCGCCCTTAGCGCGCTCCACGCCTCCAGGTCGCGCGCCGATCCAAGGAATCTTCGCGGACGTCCAGAAGGTTATGTTTATGCTGCCCTGGTCAACGGATGCTGTAAGGGGGGTGTGACTTGCATGTGAGAAACCCGCACTTGGGACACACATAGCGACTATGTGCCGCTGGAGTGCCGTGCCGTGCCATGCCTGCGCGCCGTGCCGTGCCTGGGTTCTGGAGCTTGAGTAAAGTGCCGTGTGCGATGCCGTGCCGTGCCGCGCGTGGGTTCTCGGATGCGAAAACTGTGCCGTGCCGTTCCGTGACTTGCCGGGTTTCTAGAATGCAAGGACATATTGGCTTGGCGAAGTACCCAACCATGTGTAATTCTGAGTGCCGCAGTTGTACATGGAGCTCATTGTGGGGCCACGAAACGTGTGATGGGTAGGGGCTCTCGGGGATCGCGGGGGCCATCTCAGGGATTCCCAGGAATGCTCCCGGGGATCGTGGGGGCCCTCCGTCCGTTTCGTTTTGGATGCAGCTTCTTCTGCTTCTGCTTCTGCTTCTTCTTTCTCGACCCCCTCGTGGAAAGAGCTTACTTTTTGGGCTCGGGGCTCGTGGGGGCCACCTCGGGGATTTTCCTGGCAGTGCTTCTGGGGTCCGGTCGCGGTCCCAGTTGACTGTGGGGCTCCTCTTGGGAGTGACCTGGGGTCGGCGTCACCCCAACATACTATTGTTTCTACTGCTATTACTACTACTGCTACTGCTACCATTACTACTGTTACAACTACTACTTCTTTTACTACCACCACGAGTACTACTCTTACTACTACTACTACTTTTACTACTACTACTACTACTACTACTACTACTACTGTTACTACTACTGTTACTACTACTACTACTACTACTACTACTACTACTACTACTACTACTACTACGACTACTACTACTACTACTACTACTGCTGCTGCTGCTGCTACTGCTACTACTACTACTACTACTACTACCTACTACTACTCTACTACTACTACTACTCCTACTACTACTATTACTACTACTACTACCACTACTACTACTACTACTACTACTACTACTACTACTACTACTACTACTACTACTACTACTACTACTACTACTACTAGTACCACTACTACTATTTCTCCTACTATACTTCTACTACTACTTCTACTACTACTACTACTACTACGAGCTCCACCACTACTACTACAACTACTAATTCTATCGCCACGAGTAGTAGTAGTAGTAGCAGTAGTAGTAGTACTACTACTACCACTACTACTACGGCTACTCCTACTACTACTACTACTACTACTACTACTACTACTCCTACTGCTACTTCTACTGCTACTATTACTGTTACCATTACTACTCCTGCTACGACTACGACGACGACGTCTTCTACTACTACTACTACTACTACTGCTACTATCACTACCACTGCAATATCACTACTACTACTACTATTACCACTACTACTACCACTACTACTACTACTACTACTACTACTACTACGACTACTACTACTACTACTGCTTCTGCTACTACTACTACTACTACTACTACTACTACTGCTGCCACTACTACTTCGACCCACCACTACGACAAGGACTGGGATTACGACGACGCTTATTACTGTCAGTAGTACTATGACTACTACGACGACGGCTACTACTACGCTGGCTGTACGACCACTATGACTATACTACTACTACTACTACAAGGACTACTACGATTACTTCTTCTACTACGACTACTACTTCTTGTCTTACGGCTGTTAGTACTACTACTACTACTACTACTACTACTACTACTACTACTACGATTTCGATTACTACACTTGTAACTATCTCTATTACCACTACTACGACTGCTGCAACTACTACCACTACCAGTACTACTACTATTACTACGGTGCCTACTACTACGACAACTGCCTTTACTACGACGACGACTACTACTACTAGGACAGCAGCTACTAATTGTACCACTGCTCCTATTTCTACTACTACTACTACTACTACTGCTGCTGCGGCTGCTGCTGCTGCTACGAACTCCTACTACTACGACTGCTACTACACCTACTACTACAAGGACTGCTACGTACTACCACTACTACTACTACTACTACTACTGCTGCTACTACTACTACTACTTCCACTACTACTTCCTACTACTACCACCGCTATTACTACAACAACTACTACGACGACGACGACGACGACTGGTACTACTACTACTACTACTACTACTGACACTACCACTACTACTACTACTACTACTACTACTACTACTACTACTACCACTACTCCTACTACGACTACTACTACTACTACTACGACGACTACTGCGATTACTATTATTACGACTACTGGTACTACCAGTACTACGACTACTACTACTACTACTACAAACTCGGGACTACTATTTTATGATTACCACTACCACTACTTCTACTACTACTACTACTACTACTACTACTACCACTCCTACTACTACTTCTACTGCTACTACTACTACTACTACTACGTCTACTACTACTACTACTACTACTACTACTACTACTACTACTACTATTACAACTACCACTA